TGAAATGCCAGCAGAAGTAAGTGACCATTGATTGAAAGCATGGATGTCTACAGTGCCTGTAGTGTTGTCTAGACAGTGCTCACTGTCTACAGGACATAGTGATGGAACAGGTGCTGATGGGGGAGTGCCTGTGATTTATGGTTTCTGACTCCATTTGAAACAAGAGAATGAAAAAAATCAGGGAATTTTGCTTCTGCTGTAACTAATTAAAAGCCATAAATGATGCAGTTTCCATGCGATGTAGACGTACTCTGTACTGTTTCACAAGTCAGCTTTGTTGATTACCATTCTGTTATCACCTGCGTTCTTGGACACTCAGCTCCGTATATCAGTCTTTGCAAACCACATGTGATGATTGAGTAGCTGAAGTCTGAAAATTCAGCAAGCGATGCAGAAGCAAAACCTGTGTGTTCTTACATGCGTGCACCCACCCTTCTTTTGGCTTACCTTATCTGAGAATTTTTTGGGAAGGAAGGATACACAGTTACTTATCCATGGTAAGATGGATCTCATCCAGGAATAGAGACTCTCCCTAAGGGCTATATGGAAGATGCTGAAGCTTGTGGGAAATAGAAGCTGATGTTTCAGATAACTCTGCATAAGAAGTAGTGGATACATTTGGGGGGGGTAGCGGGGGACGTAGTAGTAAAAAAGAATGAAGATCATCTGCTTGATACATAATCAAGCTATCCCAGCATGATTTAGACCTTAAGTTTAATTCCAAGACATCTAATTTTCTTGAATCTCACTTACATGGTAGACATTATGTGTTTAAGGACAAAAGAAATAATGACATTTAATGTCTCCACTTTACAGTTACATCATTACACATACATGATTTCCTATTTGAAGATCAACAATGTAGATCTTTTATCAAGCGTGTGGAACATAGTTAATTGACTGTAGCAGGAATTACGCTATCATTAGGTAATTATTTGAAAGGCTTTGTCTCTAAATGTGAACGGCTGAAATCTCTTTCACGTCTTAGGATTTTTTCAGTAGAACCATGTCAATCTGAACTGCTGCATAATTTGTTTATTCTCTAATCCTGATTTTTGTAAATATCAGCATTGTTCTGCCAATCATTTCCTTCAAAACAGAGCATCTTTGTTTCATATCCTAATGACAGGATGGTCTAAGTTCACGGGTGAAGGGCGAAGTGATGAAGTTGGCCCATGTGCTTTTTTTTTCGTTCTTTGAGGAAGCATTATTCCCTAGAAAATCCGATCTAGCAATCTTAGTGTGCACATCAAGTAGACCTGATGAAAACAAAATAATAATGATTTGCAAAATATGCTTTCATAACGTGTAAAGCTTTAAATTCTGAAATTACTTTGCAAGAAAGATGGCTGCCAAAATGTCTTAGCATGGCATGCTTTGATGTCACCCTTCTTCAAAGCAGTTTTGTGGAATTCCTCCTATTGGAGGTGACTGCATAACGAAAAGCAACCTGCAGAAAATTAATAAACTGCAGTGTGCTAAAATACATAAAAGTATTTAAAAATTACTACTTTTTTAAGAGATGGGCTGTTTTTATCCATGATAATCAAGGTATATTAGTCTGTAATGGCACAGAACAAGAAGCAAATAAGAGTTTTTATAAGAGATGGCAAAAAGGTCTGAGTTTGCATTTTAAAATAGAAATGACTTTTTCACAAATGCATTAGAGAAACTAGGGACCATTAAGAAATGGTGAAGAAGAAAGATAAAATTATTAATCACAAAGATACTAAGTGCCTTTCTTCAAATCCTATTTCTATTTAGCAGAAATAAAGTCTGTGTGTGCTGCTGCATGATAGGAGTGTAATGAATGTAAGTAAAAAGAGAACTCCAATGGAAGAAATGAAACGCTGCTTGAAAACTCTGCCTACAAATAAATCAACAAGTCCAAACAGTTGTCACCAAAGTGTATCAAGGGAACTAGCAAACTAATTTGCAGTAACAGTGGCACTGACTAGAACCAGGAAGTGTGTGAAGACTGGAGAAGAGCATGAACAGCTTTTAGGGGAGAAGTTGAGTGCATCTTCTATTTGGTGGAATATATAACGGAATAAATAGTTTATGGAAATCAATAAATGTCTGGAAGGTAATGGAACCGTAAGCAAAAGCACTTACAGGCTTCTAGCAAATTAATCTTGCCAAACTTCCTTTGTTTTGCTTTCCTGAATAGTAGTGTACCATTAAAGAGAAAGCAGCAGTGTTCTAAGTTCAAAATAGTTCAGAATGTAACAATTCCAGATAGCAAGGTTGGATGGTGTCGTGGTTTAATCTCAGTCGGCAACTAAGCACCATGCAGCCGCTCGCTCACTCCCCCCCACCCGGTGGGATGGGGGAGAGAACTGGAAGAGCACAAGTGAGAAAAACTCGTGGGTTGAGATAAAAACAGTTTAATAATTGAAATAAAATGATAATAATAATAATAATATAATAATAATAATACACAAAGCAAGTGATGCACAGTACAATTGCTCACCACCCGCCGACCGATGCCCAGCCAGTCCCCGAGCAGCGGCCCCCCCAGCCAGCTTTCCCCAGTTTCTGTACTGAGCATGACGTCACATGGTATGGAATGTCCCTTTGGCCAGTTTGGCTGGGCCCCCTCCCAGCTTCTTGTGCACCTCCAGCCTTCTCAGTCAGTAGAGCATGGGAAACTAAAAAGTCCTTGGCTAGTGTAAGCATTACCTAGCAACAACTAAAACATCGGTGCGTTATCAACTTTGTTCTCATCCTAAATCCAAAACACTGTACCAGCTACTAGAAAGGAAATTAACTCTATCCCTGCTGAAACCAGGACAGATGGCTGAATACATATCAACCTTCCTTGAATTTTCACCTTCATTTAAATAAATAGATTTGACTCATTAACTTTCTATTTGGGACATTCTGCAATTTGGAGACAAAGTAAAATACACCCAGTTTGCCTCCTGCTTGAGGAAAGAGTCTTATCAGGAGCAGCTGGTCATTCACGTAGCTGTATCGGTCTGTTAGAAAGCTGGTAATTTTCATGAGTTCATAATTACTTAGTGCCTTTTTATATGGTGGATGCTCTACTTATGGGAGGTCTGTGGAAAGACATAATCTGAGAGTGTAATGTATTAGTTTCTAGACAGGTAACTGTAAGAGTGCAAAATCTACAGAATTAATTCTCAGCTGGTTTTAGTGTTTGACTCTGTGGAAGATGATGTGCAGGCTGGAGCAGTTCAGTATAGATGCTAATAAGAAGCAAAACTTTCTGGTTTACCTCTGCAAAGGTGTGAGATAAAGATTTTATTCCCTTGATTTGCTTCTTTAAAAGTGTATGCAGGAAATGAGTAAGTCTGAGCTGCATCCCACATTCAGTCAAAACATATCTTATTTTAGCATTCTTCTTAATTTCTGTGCAACTTCCCTTTTTTTGGAAAGTGGCAGTTTTAACAAGCTTATTAGATATAATAAATTTCAGCAAGGGGAAGTGGATTGTCAAAAGGGAACTCAGATATATGACCCATATGTTGATTTTTTTGGAACAGCCAGCCAGGTTTTTCTACTTGTGGGGGGGGGGGGGAACAACTGAAATTTATACTGAAATTCATACTAATCCTCTGTTGAATACAAATAGACAGTGTAATATTCCATATAATGGCAGCAGGTTTCTACAACAGAAGTAAATGAGCCTCGTAAATTTGTACCTGGCTGGCTGCATTATCTGCAGCTTTGTATTGGTGATCTTAAACTCCCATAGTTTTTTACTTAAGAGTAGAATTTTGGGAGCCTGAAACTCCTTCAGCTTTGAAGCATTCACTATATTCAGTAAATGAGTACTTTTCATTTTAAGCACTGCATGTGGCATACTTATTTTTCAGGGTTTGCTATCTTGCTTTTGTCTGTGTTGCCAATCATTTTGGTTTTTGTGTTCCTGCATGTTGCTGTTTTTTGACCCTAATATTTTTATAAGTATTTAGCAAGTGATAATAGCTGTAAGTCACAGCTGAGTATGCCTGCCTATTGGATTTAGTTTTCCCACAGCAAGACTTCATGGCCTGGTACACTGAAATATGAGCTTGCATACAGTTTCCTTGCTGAGGAGAATAATGGGCTGCAAAACACATTCTGTTGCTATTAGCTTTTCAAGTGGATTGAGCTATTCATTGGAAAAAGAGCGTGCTACAGCAATTAAGTTCACCCCTATGCTCAGTCGGCTTGTCATTTCCAAAAACGAGATGGACATCTATTTTGCAAAGAGGCTAATGTTTTATTGATGGTAGAAATTATTAACTAAAACTGAAGCTGGAAATGTGCAAGGAATGGAGGTTTGGAGCACAGTATGAGACTGTAAAGGAATTCTTTAACATAGGTATTAAGTCCCTTATGACTATGTCATACACTGAACTGGTTAAAGCACTATTCGTGGCAAATGGGAAGGCAGAAAACCTTTGGCTTTCACAATCTGCTGCTTATTTTATGTGTAGATAGAACTTCACTGCTGAGACAATGGTGGTCAGTGAAAGAAGTTACTCATTTCAAAACAGCTTTATAAACATTGTGCATCAAACACTGCTTTTCAGCATTTAACGGTTGCTAGATACTTTGTCTTTTAAATGAGCTTCTCTGTATACATGTGATCTCAGGTAGGGTGCTTTAAGTCCAAGTGAATTGTTACTCTTGGAGGAGAAGCGGTAATACATACAATCCAGACTGTGTTGAACTAGTAGAGTCAGTATGGCAGAGTGTCTTTTGAAGATGAAAATATTTATCAGAGGACCTTATTTTACCCTTTAGGTTACCGAAGGCATTTTTCAGCTTAAGCATATCTTTCTGTTAGTTTTCCCCAAAATACTGCCATGAAAATGCAGTGGAGTCTCTCCAGTCTGGGTGCTTTGGGAGAGCAGTGTTTTTCAAGCTGAGGAAATTCACGCTACAAAAATTCGGTTGTCAATGCCATAGGTATTCTTTGGGTGTAGGTACTGAATAGTTGTTCTGTTCTTCATTACATTTTAACGTATACACTGAACGTTTTTCAGGAACTCCAGGAAAGAACTTAATGACATACGGTTTGAGTTTACTCCAGGCAGAGGTAAGGCTCCTTCAATTGAATTATTCTCTTATTGCTCAAAAAGGTATTTCAGGAATTGATTACCGCTTATGGTTAATACAAACTACTTCTCTGGAATGTTTCCTACTGTGCAAAGCTTTAAACTGAACTTCACTTGAACAAGAATAGCAGATGTATGTAAATTCTAGTGGCAAGGCTGCATAATGTATATTATATATTAGAAGACTTGATCCACTGTATACTCTATCAATTTCATCTCTTATTGAAATGGTCTATGCAGTATATAAGATCTTGCATAGCAATATTTACAGCTTTGGAATTTCCATTGTCACATTTGGAAAACATCGTAGGAAACAGA